AGAAGAGTCTAGGCCCGAAACGTCAGCCTTCCTGCTCCTCTGATGCTACTTGGCCTGCTGTGTTCATCCAGCTCTACACCTTGTTATCTCAAATGTTACCAGCATCTCTGTCTGCACTAAAGCTACAAGCCCCCCAAAGGAGGTGGGTTGGAATTGAGTTGCAGATCAGCCACGTTCGATTTGAAGGAAGGATGAGATTTATAGGGTTGAACAGCCTCCTCCTCTCCCTGTGCAGAGTCTTAGTCTGTCAGCCTGGGCCATGCTGGGCACAGAGACAGAATGCTCAGCAGCTCCATTAACTCACTGCATCTTAACATCAGAGATAACAAGGTGTAGAGCTGGATGAACACAGCAGGCCAAGCAGCATCAGAGGAGCAGGAAGGCTGATGTTTCGGGCCTAGATCCTTCTTGAGAGACAATACAATGGTACTTTAGGGGGAGTACAGGAGCAGAGGGACAACCAGAGTTCATACGTGTGATACTCTAAAGGTAACCAGGCAAGTTGAAACGGTTGAAACGACCCTTTCTGAAGAAGGGTCTAGGCCCGAAATGTCAGCCTTCCTGCTCCTCTGATGCTGCTTGGCCTGCTGTGTTCATCCAGCTCTACACCTTGTTATCTCAGATTCTCCAGCATCTGCAGTTCCTACTATCTCTGAAACAGCATCTTAACATCATCCTATTTTGCTTATCTTGAGGAACAGCAAAACCTATTTTCAAATATCTACCTTGGTTTCAGGGCAAATACATACGGATCCATTTTGGACACACAGGCAAGCTCTCTTCTGCTGATATCGACACCTGTACGTACACACGATGATCTGCCTTGGGGTTTTGTTGGGATGTGGTGTGGGCGTCCCTGGCTGAGCTAGCACTTATCGCCCGTCCCTAATTAACCCCCTTTGGAAGGTGGTGGTGAGCTGCCCTCTTGAAACGCTGCAGTCACAGAATCATAGAATCCCTACAGTCTAGGCCCATTGAGTCCAAACTAACCCACTGAAGAACATCACTCCCAGACCCAGCATATCCCTGTAACCCTGCATTTCCCCATGGCTAACCCATCTGGCCTGCACATCCCTGAACACTATGGGCAATTGAGCATGGCCAATCCACCCTAACCTGCACGTCTTTGGACTGTGGGAGGAAACCGGAGCACCCGGAGGAAACCCACGCAGACACGGGGAGAATGTGCAAACTCCACACAGACAGTCACCCGAGGGTGGAATCGAACCCAGGTCCCTGGTGCTGTGAGCCACTGTGCCATCCACATACTACAGCTTCACCTACAATATCTTTAGAGAGGAATATCCAGGATTTTGACCCAGTGTCACTGAAGGCACGGCGATATATTTCCATGATGTGGAGGTGCCGGTGTTGGACTGGGGTGGACAAAGTCACAAGCCACATGATACCAGGTTATAGTCCAACAGGTTTATTAGAAATCACAAGCTTTCGGAGCACTGCTCCTCTATCAGGTGAAGTAGCTAACCTGACAAAGCACCCGCACTCCAACAGTTTGTGATTTCAAATAAACCTGTTGGACTATAACTTAGTGTCGTGTAATTTCTGATATATTTCCAAGTCAGGATGGTGAGTGACTTGGAGGGGAGCTTGCACAGGGGTGGTGTTCCCATGTATCTGCTACCCTTGTCCTTCTCAATGGAAGTGGTCATGGGTTTGGAAGGTAGGTTCTACATTTGGAACCTAAACAGAAACTGCAACTCATTTGGAGCTTGTATAAAAATTGAAGTAGGAGGAAAGCTGATGAATGTGAGTTCTCAGAGCAGACAGGCTTGTTAGGTTGTAATGATATTGACAAGAGCGCTAAAGATCAGAAAGAACATTCCAAAGGTGGGTTGGTTTGAAATTGTTTGGGGAAATGGTGGGTATATGGTGTGAATCCTACACAATGAGAACTCTGATGATGTTTTGGAGAATGGGTGAAAACTGACCTCAATAAATTCAGGGGGAAAAGTTCGTCGTAGCAACTCTAAATGGGGGGCAGAGGAGAGAGAGTGTGAGAGTGAATGAGGGACTGAGGAGAGAGAGAGAGTGTGAGAGTGAATGAGGGACTGAGGAGAGAGAGAGTGTGAGAGTGAAGTGAGGGACTGAGGAGAGACAGAGTGTGAGAATGAAGTGAGGGACTGAGGAGAGACATAGTGTGAGAATGAAATGAGGGACAGAGGAGAGAGATTTTGTTTATGAACAGGGAGGGCTCTGAATCCCTGTTGTAGCATGTTAAAGTGTGGTGATCGATTTCTGCCAAGGTATTAATCAATATTTCTTTCTCTGTTCAGACTTGCTGGAAAAGTCACGTGTTGTATTCCAACAACCTGGTGAACGGAGTTATCACATTTATTATCAGATCCTGTCAGGCAAGAAAAAGGAACTTCAAGGTAAGGGACAGCATTAGAGAGCGATCAATAGATTTATGGTGTGGAAACCAGATATCTTTAGGAAAATGGGAGCTTCATATTCAATGCTGCCATGACCTTGACCTGTCCCGATCTCTATAACCTCCTCCATCCCTACAACAAGGGGAGGTGATGGCCGAGTGGTATTATTGCTGGACTATTAATCTCAAAACCCAGATAACATTCTGGGGACCCAGGTTCGAATCTCACCACAGCAGATGGTGGAATTTGAATTCGATAAAATGTTTGGAATTAAGAATCTAATGATGACCATAAATCCATTGTCAGTTGTTGGATAAAACCCATCTCGTTCACTAATGTCCTTTAGGGAAGGAGACTACCATCCTTACCTGGTCTATAATGTGACTCCAGACCCACAGCAATGTGGTTGACTCCTAACTGCCCTCTGGGCAATTAGGGATGGACAATAAATGCTGCCTAGCCAGCGATGCCCTCATCCCGTGAATGAATAAAAGAAAAAAACCCCTGGCTCCCTCATCTCCCAGCCCCTTCATGCACACTACTGGTCTCCATGTCCTTATGAATCTAGACCCTACGATCATCACAGATCGCCTCACAGGCTTGCTGCTCCTCCAAGGTGCTGCTTAAACCCCTTCTGTCTACCCAAACCTGATTCCCTTCTCTTTGGTTCAATGTCAACTTTTGTGAGACACACATCAGTGTATTAAGCGCAGCTTTCCCACACACTGGGCTTCACCAGTTACTGTCTCGGGTCAAAATGGCTCACAGCGCAAGGAGTTACATAGAAACATAGAAGATTGAAGCGGGGGAGGCCACTTGGCCCTTCGAGCCTGCTCCGCCAATCTTAACCATCATGGTTGATCGTGCAACTCAACAGCCTAATCCTGCTTTCTCCCCATAACCTTTGATCCCATTTGCCACAAGTGCTATATCTAGTTACTACTAACCTGAACAAGGGCTAGTTTATCATCACCAGAATCAAACTGAGTGCACCTTCTCGTTTCAGATATCCTGATGGTGTCTACCAACCCCCATGACTATCACTGCTGTTCACAAGGAGTAGTGACTGTGGACAAGCTTGACGATGGTGCTGAGTTAATGGCAACTGATGTGAGTGGTTCATATCCCATGTCTCACCCTCCCTTTAGAAATGGCGCTGCGGGAATAGAACATAGAACATAGAACAGTACAGCACAGTACAGGCCCTTCGGCCCACGATGTTGTGCCAAACTTTTACCCTAAACCTAAGGTCTATCTAACCTCCACCCCTACCTTATACTATCATCCATATGCCTATCTAATAGCCACTTAAATGCCCCTAATGAGGCTGACTCCACTACCCTCTCCAGCAATGCACTCCACGCCCCGACCACTCTCTGAGTAAAGAACCTACCTCTGATGTCTCCCCTGTATCTACCTCCACTCACTTTAAAACTATGCCCCCTCGTAATAGCTACCTCCACCCTAGGAAAAAGTCTCTGGCTGTCCACTCTATCTGTACCTCTGATCATTTTGTACACCTCTATCAAGTCAAAATGTCACAGGGCTAATCATCGCGAAGCCTGGTTTAATGCTCCTGGCCTCGCAGGTTCAAATCCCACCACTGCCGGACTTAAAATTTATTTTCACTCATTCATGAGGCATGGGTGTCGCTGGCCAAGCCCGCATTTATTACCCATCCCTAACTGCCCAGGGAGACAGGAATTAAATGAACAAACCTGGAATTAAAAGTTAGACTCAGCGATGGTGACTATTGAGTGTTTTAAACGCCCACTAATGAGAGAGTGTGAGAATGAAGTGAGGGACTGAGGAGAGAGAGAGTGT